CCGAGGCGGAGGGGGACGCGGGGGGGCCGGTCCTCCCCCCCCCCCTTTGCTGGGCTCGGCAGTGGCAGCGAGGCCGGTCTTCCCCCCGCCCGCCTGCCCAGCTCCAAGGAGGAGGAGGCGGTGCGGCGGCGGCAAGGCCAGCTACAGAGCGTTGCATGTGCAGGGGACTCTGTCACTTTAGGGGGGATTTAAACATCCCCCCGAAATTTTTTTCAACTTTTTGGATTTTTGTGCACACGTGGGGACCGCCCCACGTGTGCACAAACCTCCCCCTCCCCCCCATGTGCCCCCGGAGCGCGGATTTAGCGATCCGCACTCACGGGGGCAACTTGGCTATTAGTATATAGATGCATGGATAACCTTGCTTGTTACCTGTGTCAAGCTGCAACACTTTAGAAATGCTAACGAGGTGTACAACTAGGAGTTACACACAAAATAGTACATAATGTATTTTATTAAACCATCTTAAATGTTATATAACTCAGGGATTCACATATGCAGCAGTATCCTGAGCTCCGGAGGCTGGACTTCATTTTCAAATTTTATGAGTTCTAACAGGCAGATTCTCAAATAATCGAGGCCATTAAACTAGGGTTCATCCTCCTGGCTCCCACTGTCAGTTTTAGTCATAGACTGACACAGAACTACATTTTTTCTGCTTTTTCAGCTCCTCGTCCATTTCTGATATTGGAATATAGAATGCCAAAGTATGGAAAAACACTTCCGATGCCTGCAGAGGGAGCTACTGTTGTAAAAAGCTGGCTTATCAGCTGCAGGGGCTGTGATTCAGGACGTCGGGCTAAGGATCTCCACCAGTTCAGAAAATCACTGGCAGTCCATCTAGTCCGGCATCATGTCTCACACAGCCGCCAAATATTTTCTCCAGAGGTCCAACAACAGGGCATAGAGACTGAGGCCTTCCCCTGATGTTTCCTCCTGGCTCTGGGATTCAGAGACTGACTGCCTCTGCAGAGGTTCCCTTTGATCACCGTGGCTAGTAGCCACTAATGGGTGTCTCCTCCTCCATGAACCTACCTAATCCTCTTTCGAAGCCCTCTATGCCTGTGGCCATCACTACATCCTTTGGCAGCACATTCCTCATTTTAATCGCTCATTGTGTAAAGAAGTGTTTCCTTTTGCCTGTCCTGAATCTACTGTCTTTCACCTTCATCGGGTGCCCTTGAATTGTATTTTGAGGGGTGAGGGCGAAAAATTTCTCTGCCCCCTCTTTCTACCCAATGCATGATTTTATAAACCCCTATCATGTCTCTCCTAACTTTTTTTTTTTTTTTTTAAAACCTGGAAAAATTCCAGACTCTCCAGCCTTTCCACAAAGGAAAGGTGCTCCAACACCCATTCGTCTAGGTTGCTTTTTCTGTATTTCTACCAACCTTGCCGATGTCCTTCCTGCACTCTGGTCGCCAGAACTGCGCACAGTACTCCAAATGGGGGCAGACCATAAATCTGTACAGGGACATTATAACATCGGCTGTACCCTTAAGAGCCTGAATGGCTATAACGTGGCATGCTCCTGTGACTGACAGGATGGAGCCCATGGATGCAAGATCACAGATCTTTCTGTGTTTGCTTCCCCCCCCCCCCCAAAAGTCCATTCCTGCCCAGGAAACTTTGTTCCCAGGGACGACTGGTATGGTCTGATAGCCATGTGAGTCGAGAGGCTGAGGTGGCCAGGGGGGAGGGGGCAAAATCAGCCCCTCTTTTCACTTCCATCAGCCCAGCGGTACCAAGGGAGGAGCTGGGGCCATTTTACCCTCATCACTCTCTCCACTGCAGCCTCCTGACCTTTGTGGGTGTTGTCTTGCACACTAGGAATAAACTTTCCAGGGGTCAGAAGCTCCTGCATGTGACAGGGGAGGATTCAAGAAAGATCCATGACTTATCAGTGCCTAATGCTGATGGATTGCAGGATACAGCCTGGTCTCTTGTGGGCGCAAGAGCACAGGCAGCCTGTAAAGGTTATGAACATCATGGAGGATCAGTCCAGTGACTGGAAGTTCTCCTCTCCTGTCTAAAATGCTTGACCCTGGAGGTCCCTTCCAACTCTATGATTCTGTGAGTCCAGCTTGGTAAATTCAGCTAATTAAAAAGTTGGTTGTTTTCAGAGTGTCATCTTGGAGGGTGAATAGCTTTCAGGAAGCAAAAACCGACTGTTTATTCCTTCCTGCTGTCTTAGTTTTATCAAGAATGAAGACCCCCAAGTCTGCCTCATGCTGCACTCCAAGGGCAAAAAAGAACAGGTATGCTTCCAGATTTACCACATTGGCCTTAGGATTTGTGGCCGGCACAGTGCTTCTTATGTGGATTGATTTAAGCATGCAGCTTAGGGGTGTGCATTCGGCTACAGCTGAACCAAAGAGATACCCGAAAAACACGTTGTCAGTATTTTTTTAGTATCACATAAGCCAAATGCAGATCAGAGATTGGTATAGCTGAACCCGAAAAAGCTGATATTATCTGGCTGTTTTTTGGGTTCTTTTTGCTATACCGAAAAAAAAGGACTCAATTAAACCTAACATCCTGAGTGGCCAGTCAGTTGTTGGGTTTAAATGACTTTCCCTCCCCGAGATCGGGGAGGGAAAGAAAGGCATTTTAAATATGCCTGGGTTCCCCTTCTGATCTTCTCCAGGAGCCCCCCAGCCTGCCCGCCACAGTGAACAGGCTGGGGAAGGGAAGGTAGGCAGGCACACATGCTCCCTTAAGAACATAAGAGATGCCAATGTTGGATCAGGCCAAAGGCCCATCCAGTCCAACACTCTGTATCACACAGTGGCCAGAAATACCAGTGCCATCAGGAGGTCCACCAGTGGGACCAGGACTCTAGAAGCCCTCCCACTGTTGACCCCCCCCAAGCACCAAGATGACAGAGCATCACTTGCCGCAGAGTCCCTATCTATACCTTGTGGCTAATAGCCACTGATGGACCTCTGCTCCATATGCTTATCTAATTCCCTTTTGAAGCCATCCATGCTTGTAGCTGCAAAAGGTAAAGGTTCCCTTGCTCGAAAGCCAGTCGAATCCGACTCTAGGGGGCGGTGCTCATCTCCGTTTCAAAGCCGAAGAGCCAGCGCTGTCCGAAGACGTTTCTGTGGTCATGTGGCCGGCATGACTAAACATCAAGGCGCATGGAACGCTGTTACCTTCCCACCGAAGTGGTACCTAGTTATCTACTTGCAATTTCTTGCTTTCCAACTGCTAGGTTGGCAGGAGCTGGAACTAGAGATGGGAGCTCACTCCATCATGCGGCACCCGAGTCTCGAACTGCTGAACTACTGACCTTCCACAGCCTGCAGTTCATCATCTTAACCACTTGAGCCACCGCAGCTCCATCTTTCTTTCTTCCCTGAGCCTCTCCACTTTTGCGGAGAGACTCAGGGAATTGGGGGAGGGGCATGCTTAAATGCCTTTCTTTCCCTCCCCAACGTTGAGGAGGGAAAGAAATGCATTTTAAACAGGCCTCGGTTCCCTGCCTGCCCTTCTCCAGCTAGGACATGTCAGCTAGAGAAGAGAAGACAGAGAGAGGCTTTCCCTTGTCAATTTCACTCTCAGCTGATTATCAGGGAGTGAAATTGACAGGGAAATCTGTAGGGGCTACCGGGGGGAAACAAGGTATTTTAACAGGAGTCCTTTCCCTCTGGTGGTGTAAATCAGCCCTGAACATATTCGGCAATACCGAATATTTCCCCAATCTGAATACCTTGCCAGTATTGGACTGGGGAAATTTGGCATTTACCGATATTTTTTGGGTCTGATTTACCCGCAGCCGAAAAATACTGGCTTTATTTTTTTTTCCCCGCCCCTAATGCAGCTGTAGTTAAGTGTGTTAGATAAAAGGAATCTCTCCCATGAGAACATTTTTTAAAACATTCTTTAGTTAGTCAAGCCCGAGTCTCTGAAATCTTGGTTTTACTGCATATATTTGTTAGGAACACAGAGAAAGAGACTGATTCAGGTGGGTAGCCATGTTGATCTGAAGCAGTAGAACAAAGTTTGAGTCCAGTGGCACCTTTAAGACCAACAAAGTTTAATTCTAGGCATAAGCTTTCATGTGAAGAAGTGTGCAAGCATACAAAAGCTTATACCTTGAATAAAACTTTGTTGGTCTTAAAGGTGCCACTGGACTCAGAGAAAAAGACAGACAGTGCTATTTTTCAGGTTTTAAGGCCTTGTTACATTACAAGTTCCATCAACATGAAGCTGTAATGGAGGCCCATTATTGTCAGAACCTACAGCCAACAACGGAGTACATGCTTTCAAGAAAGGTTATACTTTTGTTGAAGAGCTATAGAAGCATTAACATAGTCACTGTTAAGAATGGCAGTTGTCCCTTGGACCTAATAAGGTATAGGGCATTCGTATGCACCCCCCCCCCTGCGCTGGCCAATTAGGCACCCTCCCACACGCAGGCTAAAGCTAGCAGACTGTTTCTAGGAGAAGCTGGGAACAGTCTGGCTCCCACGGCTGCCTGGAAAGGCAGACAACACACATTCCCACCTGCACATCGTTATAGATAAGCGTTTCGGCGCAAAGCATAGGCAGGAATGTGAAAGCAAGTTACACAGACTCTGACTGAACATCCCAACCCCCATGGCAGCATAGCTGACAATTATATGAATTACAGTGAAGAAATCCACAGTGAACAAATTATGGCCCTCGAGCTGGGTAGAGCCTTGTACAAGTCGTGGCTGGTTGGCTTAGACTGAGCTGACTGAAGTTGAATCCAATGAAGAAGGAGGTCCTGTACCTGAGTCGTAGCAGCCTGGGGTTAGGGATCCCACCCCCCACCTTGGACAGGGCACCATTGGTGCCAGCGCCTGAGGTTAGGAGTTTGGGAGTGCTCTTGGATGCCAGTTTGGTGTCGTGCTTAGGAGCACGGACTCTAATCTGGGAGAACCGGGTTTGATTCCCCACTCCTCCACTTGCAGCAGCTGGATGACCTTGGGCAAGCCGTAGTTCTGGCAAGAGCTGTCCTTGAAAAAGAGCAGTTTCTGTCAGAGCTCTCTCAGCCCCGCCTACCTCCCAGGGTGTCTGTTGTGTGGGGAGGGGAAGGGAAAGGAGATTCTAAGCTGCTCTGAGACTCCCTTCGGCAGTGAAGGGCCATGGGGTATAAATCCAATGTCTTCTTCTTCCTTAATGATGGAGGCCCAGGTAGCAGCCATGGACAAGTCACCCTTCTACCATCTTCGGCTGATTAGGCAGCTGGTTCCCTTCCTCGAACACAGTGACTTGGCAACAGTGATCCATGCGATGGTCACCTCGTTTGGGGCTGCCCTTGCCCCCAATCCGGAAGCCTCGGCTGGTGCAGAATGCAGCGGCCAGGCTTTTGTTGGGTCTCCCCTTGTGGGAGCACATCCAGCCAGCGCTGAAAGCGCTGCACTGGCTGCCTATTGCATACACCAAATTCGCTTCAAGGTGCCAGGAGGATGTCTCTGTGGTGGCTCCGCACTGGTGGAATGAGCTCCCGGAAGGTACTAGGGCCCTGCGAGACCCTTTACAGTTCCGCAGAGCCTGCAAGACGGAGCTCTTCCACCAGGACTTCGATTGAGGAGCCACACTTAAGAGTTCAGTATAGATTTAAGACTCCACGCCCTGGAACCATCAGCAGCAGCAGCCTGTCTCTCGCTGATAAAAACTGGAACTTAGTATGGGACTGAGATAATAGTCCCAATGTTGTTGCTGACTGTACTCCCCCACTCACTGTGACTGATCTGACACTCTGTTCAGCCGTCATATTTGTAATATCGCACTCCAGCACTTTTAAATGTATTATAAATATTCTGCTTTATCTGTTTTAATCTTTTACGTAAGCTCTGGCGGGGAGGGCAGGGTATAAGATGAATAAATAAAATTATAGGTTATCTAGTCCTCCCCCCCCCCCAGTACAGGAAGGC